CCTGATGGGGAATCCGCAAGTGAACTCTCGCCCTCATACTCTCCAGCACCTGTGCGAAATACTATCATGGCATCACGGTGGTACGACACTACTTCGAGTACCATCCTGGTCCGCCATCCGGCATCGTGCTACTTTCACTGACTCAGGCAAACGTAAAGTATTGTGCAAGAAATGTCTCGACAAGCATATCGACGTGGTCCTACTTCACGAAGAACGCCGGGTGTGCCTCGATGGCAGTGCGTTCCTCCGCAGCCGAGAGGCTGTCGCTGCAGATGGTCAGTAAGCACTCCACAAGTCAAGAAGACCGTTGCTCACAGCGACACTTGCAGCATGGAATCTGCCTCGTTCGGAAATAGGTTGGATGGAGCATCGAGCGTGTAATTGCCTCAAGCATCTTCGAGACTGCGAGTTACAGACCGCGGAAGTTAGACAACGCGCAGGCGAGGAGCACAACGAGCGCCATCTCGAACCGCGTAGGGCAAGGTACGCTTCGAGTGCCGCACACCTACGTAGTTTCTCCCGCAGGCTCGATAAGAACTTGCGCGAGTCGCTCTCGGAGATCGTTGAGCAGTCAGCCAGGGTCCCTTCGCCTGTCCCAAGGGAACAGCCAAGCACGCCGTGGAGCGGCGACAGGTTCCCCGTCTTCCCTTATTCAGCGCGAGCGTGGTTGGAGCCGCAAGCCCGACCCCAAACCACACCATGGAACGTGGTCGCGCGCATGCCCCTTTCTTATGGTTCAGAACAGGCGTTGCCGGGGTTGCAAATCCAACAGCCGATCCTCTCTTGGGACAACGACGGCTTCCCGACGCCGTACGCGACGATCTTTCCTCCTCCTCCCATGCAGGCATCGTGGGGGTCGCAAGCCCGAGTCCTTACTGAAACACCAGCGAGACCACTTGTGGCTGGTCCCAACGGCATTATGTCTAACCAGTTACGACTGCCGTGGGTATCTAGAGAGCCGGAAAATCTCTATCAGAAATATCTTCAGGAGCTCGGCATAGCGGTATGTGTGAATCTGGTATTTACGTTGTGGTATGTTCTCGTTGTGACACGCACTACAGGGGACGCATGAGGCGGCCCAATGGTCACTGCCACTTCACGATGCGATACCAGTTCCACTCTCAGGTGGAACAGACGATTGGATGCTGAACCTGACTACGGCATCATCGTCCTTGTGCTGGCCGCCGGTAGATAATACTATGCACGCCGGAGGCATAGAGGTAAGTTTTGATTGCAGATCTTGCACGTGTGCTAAGTGAGTACCACTTGGGTAGGGAGCGCCCCATGCCACTCAAGCAGTAGACGGAAATGGCGGAACTTGGCTTGAGAACACTTCGTCGCTAATGCACTCTGCTGCGTTAGACATTTAAGCATGGAATGACCTCTACGCGCTGTATGGGAGAAGAATGTACCTGAATGTCGCTACGCTTGCTTACATGCACTTGCCTCTACCGTCAATAGTGATGTGATCCCATTATCCAATTATATTTGATACAGAGGAGTGTCGTTTAGTTGCTCTCGTATTAACACTCGCTTGAAACAGTCGCTACCGAATTTACTTGTTGGTATTCCCGGCAAGGAACCGCACACCTTCACCATCGGCGACCCAGATTATCTGCGCTCGACTTGTCTTCGCTAGAACAGTTATCGCCTTGCGGAGCAGCGTCATGGGTATCCCAGAGAGTGGTGAGGGCACTGGGGGCTCGATAATGTCGTAGAAGGTAAGGATCATGTTCAGCTGTCCGGTGGAGTCCGCCTGCGATAACGTTAGCCGCGCTCTGACAGCTGTGAGAACAGCACGCACCCAACCGTGCAGAGCCTCCGCCCACTCCTCTGGTGTTCTCCAGTACAGAAGCACAGACCGGGTCTGCCGCGCAGGCTCGTACACTGCCCTGTTCTTCGCTACCATGTCCGCCATGATATACACGAGGTGGCTCGGCAGCAGCCGCCCTGGGGATCCATGCGTCGGCCACTCGAAGCTCAGCACAAATGGCAAGACGAGAACGTACTGTTGATCTGCTCATTCCTTAAGATCTCATCCCAGTCATTCCCCGCGGCCTCGGCGTCCTCGACCCGCAGTATGAACAACCTCCGGTGCCGTGCGTACGATAAGATGAGCTTCGTCCAATGCTCGGTCACGACAGCCTGCGTGTTCGGGTTTGGCTGCTGTCTGGCAGAAGAGATATTAATTCTTGTATCGAAAATCTTAAAGGGAATAAATGAACGTGAACAACGGCGCCGCCGAGTGGATGGACGGTAGCAAGTATCCTGTATCTCAGTCAGTCGTCGCACTCGCATCTACTCAGGCGCGCGAGCATACCGGACGGTGTTGTTCGTGGTGCAAGCGTTAGGAAAGACATGTTGAATATTATTCTCGTCCAAAACTAAGCAGTCTCTTTCAGGTGAAGGTGCACGAGCAGGAGGTAGTGGATGTCCGAGGTCATCTCGATCTCGGGCGTCTGCCATGAACTGTGGACGCCGTAACTCCGGCGTGCATACCCGATGCAGGTGTGCATCCAGACTCCTAACCCGTCCCCCGTGGGTGTGTACAGGTGTGTACAGCACAAGGTGGTAAGCACGGTTTTTTTCTTGAAGAAACCCGGCCAAAATTGGGAAAACAAGAACCAGTTGTTCTCCGGTTGTACATTGGGGTAAATTAGTGCGTAAATTGGTGCAAAACCGGCCAAAAGAGGCTGAAACACGACAAAACTAGCGGAAAAGGAAGGTTTGTCTCCAAATTTTCTCGAATGAAAACTGGTTAGTCCTCGCCAAGTGTTTTTACCAGGAAGCGCCCAGGTTTGCGTATGAGTCAGCAGTATTATATAGCTTCACAAAACTGCATAATCTCGCTGACTCATTCAAACGAAACCGGCAAGTACGTGATAAAGAGATAAGATAGCGAGGCCTGCAGTATGCCTACGCGGCGGTAAGGAGTCTGGTGTGCATCTCGGAAAATTAGTAGCTTTGCAGATTTTCGAAGTTATTATGGCATCGTAGGCCACCCACAAGATAGTAATACATTGTTACTCAGAAGGCAAAGGTAATACCGAGACAGGGCGTTCGCGAACCCAGGCCCAGTGCAACGCTCCATCGGATCGCTCGTTTTACTGATCCACTACACCGAAAATGCACATTCTATTAAAAATAGACGCCATGGAGGTCCGATAGACAGAATAACCCGAGAAACCAAGCCGAGAAT